GTGAGAAAGAGAATTTTCAAATGTGTAATGCATATAAACAACATACAAAGAAAGGTCTCAAAGCAGAGAACCATAACAGATGCTCAATTAAATATATAACTTGGAGAATCTGTAATGAGGCATAAAAATAACTACAAAATATAATGAAGACAATTCAGTGTTCTCAGGCACAAAAAAAAGCAGTTTGCAAAAAAACTGAAATAAAAGTTGGACAGATATATTTATTTTCAAAATATAATTCATTGTTTAAGACAAAACTTGCCAGCAGATTTTACAGAATTTTGTAACCAATTATGTTTTCACATTCAAAATACTGGACTGATAATGGTGGACAAATTAAAATTCAGTCGACAAGTCTGGAGAATTTTATCAAATATAATGGACAAATAGAGGTAGATAGATTAAATTAAAAGACAGGTCAAATTTGAAGAACGAAAGTTAGCTTTTTGTGGGGGGGGGACAGGAAGTATGTATATTTTAAGAAATAAAATTTGTTTGTTCAAATTATAATTATGAAGTTCACACTTTAATCAGTAAAGTTTCAATTTGAATTATTGGATGTTTGATGCATACAAGAATTTTAGGCTAATAATGCTAAAAAGTTTGTAAACATAATATTGCAAATTTCAAGCATAAATGCCTCATTTAAATATTCATCTCTATAGAGATGAAATTTTCCAACCACAGAAGAAAAGTGGTACAATCGTATTTCTGAGAGAATATTAATGAATTAATCAAGTTTAGCAGAAAATATTTTGTATTTGTAAATATGACAGAAATAGAGAGAATTATGAAATTTGTGCTTGTGATTGCATTTAGCTCTTTCAATTTGTTGTAAAACAAATTATACCCATACACATGAGCCAATAAGAAAAACATTAAACTTTTATATTGTGAAGGTAGAACAATTTTGTAAGCACAAAATCCATCAAAAAAAATTATTCATTAGATCATGTTTTCAAAGACAACTTAAGAAAATTATTTAATTTAAAGCCATAAAAAATGTTTTTCATTTTTTTTTCAAGATTAAGAAAAAAAACATGCACACATACAATATGTGTGTGTGTGTGATATTATATAATATAAATAAAATAATAAATACAATTTCACTTATCTTGTCTCTGAGTTTCATGGAACATCCACTCTTCAAGAGACCCAATTATAAAATTGTATTTATTTTCAGAAATCACATTTCTGAAAATAAATTAAATTTTGCAATCAAAAGACTGAAGACTGGATGTAATTCCACAAAATTTCTTGCTTTCCAGTCAACTTTCAAAAATTTAAATGCAATGCTAATTGTTATCTTCTGTCTTCTTAATTCATGTTCTTTTATCATTCTCTCTCATTAATTTTTTTTTCTCAGATTCTCTCACATTCAGTAATCTCTTACATCTTAGTGGTTTTGTTGCCTTACTTGGGATGAAATAATTAAAAAAAAGAAAAAAAGATAAATGAAAATTTAATTTTATTTATTATTAAGGTTCTATCCCTTTATATCGTGCACTGTAATTACAAAGACACACACACACAGATATATATATATATATATATATATATATATATATATATATATATGGCTTTGAAAATGACAGAACACGTTCTTTTAAAGGGACTTTTTTTTCGTCCAACACTTCTTTAGAAACATTTGTTGAAGCAACAATAATCAAAATGGCAAAACTGAAAAAGGTAGAAATGGGTGGTAACCACAACTAAACAAAATTTATTACTAAAATAGAAACAAACAAATCTGTGTAAATAAGTCCATAATGAGTATAAAACATAAAAAGAATTACTTATGACCCATGCATGAGACAGAATGAAGAAAATTCTCTTTCTACCTGCACAAAGTGGGTCAATGAAGCTTGATGTAAATAGCCCCTAAAATCTGTAAATGTTTAATCAACCAAGCCTTACACCCTAAACAGTCCAACATATAAGTGCAACCTGAGTTATTAATTAAATGAAACCCAATCATTGACTCACAAAATGACTGAGTCAAGCAATTACTGCTAATTGCTACACCCTGTCTTATATAGGTAAGCATGTTTTGTCCAATCTGGGTCTCCAGCTGCTAGTTGGTTTACCTTGGACCAACATTTAAATTGATAAATCACAGAAATACTTTGCAGGTAGGACAAGCCATTCTTAGCAAAAGATGGGAACACTACTAAATACAACATTCAGTGTTGGACAAAAAGGTCCCTTTAAAAAAAATGCGTTCTGTCAATTTCAATGCTATATTTAAATTCTGTGGTACTATATATATATATATATATATATATATATATATATATATATATTCTATGTGTGCATGTGTAGGCATGTTTTTTTAACCCCCCCAACAAAAGGACATTATCTCAATATTTCAATTTACTCAATAAAATAAAAATGATTAAAAAGTACACTAATAGGATTTGAATTTTTTTTTTTTTTTATGTCCAAGGCAAATAATAGATAAATCAATAAACAGTCAAAAGTTTCTGAAAATTGACTGGTTCGCAAATAAATTTTACTTTTAGTGAGACCGAATTTTTCTGGCTATATTCATTTAATACTAGTACTTGAAATAATGACTATTCTTTTCCCGTTGCATCTTCAATATACTTAAATCTTTTAAAAGCAATTTAACTGTAACCAGCTTTCGACCCACAAATTTTACATATTAGACATCTAAGCCAGTTTTTAGAGTTATTTTTTTTATTGCATCAGCAAATCTGTTTACAGATAGAGGATTAAAATAGATAAAAGAATCTTCAGTAGATTATTTTTGTTTCATTTTCTATATATGATTGATATATTTTAATAAAAACTATGTACTTCCAATGTTTAATATATTCTCTTCCTTTTTTGTTCAGTTAAACTTTTTTTTTAAGTGATCTCCAAAAACAGCATGAAAATTTTACACCAACTTGAAATTTACAGATTGCTTCACACTAAGTTAATTTAACATTTACTGAATACTTATGTACATATGTATTCAGTAAATGCAAATATAAATTCAAGTTATGGTAAATTAATTGCATTTCCAGTTTATTAGCCATTCAGTTAGAAGAAACAGCTATTTTTTTCAATAGCAAAATTCTAGTCATGAATTTGTTTTTTGAATTCATTGACAGATTTTTCTCTCAATTTAGACTGGGCACTGGTTAACAGTGCCCAGTCTAAATTGAGAGAAAAATCTGTTTTCACTTGCTACCATATAGATGAATTAGGAACAACGCAAAAATATATCCTTTTTTTAGCTGTACACATCAATGAGGAAAAAAGAAAATTGTAGAAAATTTCTATATGAATATCTTCACAATCACAATAGGAATGAGTAAAGTCAGTCATACTATCTCTCCTCTCACAGTAAATAAAAAATAAAGTGAAGGCAGCTTATACATATCCCCACAAGTGGTTAAATTCACAGACAGCAGTAACAAAATATTGTCTCAAAAGTTTCAAGCCCTATTCAGTCTAGCATCAAAAATGTTCAGGATTACAGAAAAACACCAGTAGACAATTTTCTCGCTCTCCTCCCAGAACAACTTTAAAAAAAAAAAAAAAAAATGTATCTCAATCTTTTAAAAATGGTTTTAGGTAAGCAAGCAGAGCCATAAATAGTACAATATAATTTTTTATCTCTTGACCGGCTCACATATAAGGTTTTATGAAATATGGTAAAAATTAATACTCGCTTTAAATTTTTTTTTTTATTTTATTAAAAAAGAAAAAAAAAAGAAAAAAAGAACAATTGCTTTTGATTTTCTTTACTTTGAAATCTAATATAATTTTGAGTTTAAAAATTTCCACAAAAGCAATACATGACAGTTGTCAAATAATTGAAAAAATATCCAAACAATGTTAGCTAGTCTACTAAAGCAGTTTGAAAAGGATTATACATAAAATGACATCTCAACTTTCTAATAGAATCATTATTCACTTGCTTTTTTATTTGTACTTAAAAAAAAATATTGAAAGAATTTAAGTACAAATTAAAATGAATACAAAATAATAAAAAGATAATAATCACATCCATGTTTTCTTTGTAATTTCACTTTTTTTCCCCATAAAATGTCACAACCATTTCACAACTAATTTTTAATGTATGCTATTACAATCTCTTCTTTCTTGTCTGTTTCTATGATTTTACCTTTTTGTCTATTCTGTTACTACAGTTTTGATGTAATGAGTATTTAGAAAAAAAAAAACCTGCAGATTTCAAGAAGCAAAATCAATTGATATTCATATGCAAATTGGTTTTTCTTGTATAGAATTTCAAATGTTTCTTTTGTGGTGAAAATTTCCTGCAAGGAAAGAGCCCCTGAAAAAAGTTACTGAATTCAGAATCAGCTGCTTAAGTTTGATTGCAAGTTACTTATCTTCACCCCTGATTCTTTAAATAAAGCTGATCAACAAACAAAAAGTACTAAAGCTAGAATAATCAAATCTATTATTACTTTCGAAATACCCCCAATCTGAACTTTTTTTTGCATATAAAGTCATTGTGAAATAGTTGTGAATGTAGACACTGTACCTCTCTTGCTCAAAAATAATTTTGCTTTCACTCCCAAAAGGATAAAAAAAAGAATATCTGTTCAATATGTTGCAAGAAATTGCTCTTGATATTTTATCTTCCGACTTAAATTTTTTTTCCTCTGCTCTAACAAGATTCAGATAACAATCCAAAATGATAAATGTTAAATTTAAAAATGAACAAGTCAACAGATGAGAAATATATTTAACTTCATTGCTATGTCAGGAATATACAATTATAATAGTTCAACTCCTGGTTCTCTTTAAGCAGACAAAAGAAGAGAAGATGAGGCATCTTTACTCAAGCAGATATATCCCATCATAGCATCATAGAAAAGGAGCAACGAGTCCCCATTCTGGTCATGCCAGTAAAAATAAGTGGTTCTTTCTAGGAATCCTTCTTTTGTTAAGTCAGTTATCATGACAATAACATAAATCAGAATTACAATGAGACTTAATGTGATGTGGGTTTACTCTACCTTTATGTTTGCGTGGGAACTCACACATTTCACACTTGTCCAGTGCTTGATGGTTCATATAGGTACATTCTGAACAGTTCCAAGTATCTTCTACAAGTTCATTGTCAGGTATTGAAGGTGGAACTGGATGACTCTCTGGTTTGTAACGAGGAGGCCGAGGTGGAGGATTATTCCAAGCTAGGAACAAAAAAAAAAAAAAAAAAAAAATAAAGATTAGTTTCATAATCACTTACAATTTATACAAAGATATGAGTGTAAAACTTCAACAAAGATATATAAATAAATGGCAAAACATGTGTGATATTTTGATTAAATTGGGAATATGAATACGTGATATCCAAAACATTTTAAGTACTACCAGGATATGCATTAGATTTTTAGATTTTTTTTACCAGCAATCTAAAAGTTTTAGAAACTAGACTAAAATTTGCTTAATAAATTTTTCCATTAACATATAAATGCAGGTATCCGAGTCAAAAAAAAATTCCGGGAAAGATTTTGCGCATTAAAAGTTTCTTTGTCAATAGCAATTTTATTTTCTCTTTCATGTCTAAATATGTGATAACTGCTTTTTTTAAAGTTCTCCTAATCATCTTCTATGTGCTATGTCCCTTCAGGATATTGACAATTATGGCTCTCCACAATTTCCTGTTTGAACAGTGGCATTCAGAGATTTGGTGATGCCTCGGGTTAACTGCTTGATTGTATGCCCCAAGACACAAGTGTGATGGCGTGTGTGTGTGTGTGTGGGGGGGTTACTCCAGTCTCACTTATCAAAACACGGATCCACATTCACACCGGTTTGTGGAACTGTAGGGCACTTGTACAATAAAGTTAACAGAGACAATTTCAAATTTAAAAAATTAAATTTTTATTTTATTCTTTCAGTGGATGTCCTCCTGATATGGATACCTGGTGCTGTCACACCTTCTGCTCCCACTTTTTGCCCACTTTGCAGCTTTTAATAAATTTTGTTTTTTGTTATCTCTCCTAAACCTTGTTCTGCCATTCATTTATTAAGCTTGCTAGGTAGGTTATGTGTTATTTTCGTATGTCCCTCAATCTGTCCTGTGAGTATTAAATTTTCCAAGTCTTCTTTTCTTATTTTGTGTTCTAGAAATTTCAACTATTTCTTTCTGATAAGCATAATGGTCCTTTTAGTTTCCATTTTCTCTAAAACTTTGTTGTTTGGTCCATGGTATTCCCAGCATCCTCCTATAGAACCACATTTCTGTTGCTTCAAGTTTCTTCTTCATCTGTGAGAAGATTATCATGAGGAATAGATAACAAATTACTGTAGACAAAGCAGTATAATCATAACCATTTCAAGGTTATGATTATAGTGCTCAGTGTAGTAGCATTCATGCATAAATGTTCCACAAAGTAGCAGTTTTTGGAAAGAAGTCTTGAATAGAACATGTTTCTTACCAAAGGAATATATATAGGAAATGAGGGTGATATTTGTTTGAATTTTAAACTGAGCTCAGAATAGTTGATGGCATTTCTGAAGATTGGTTAGATGTTCTACCCATGTTTATTTTCTGAAATGTTCAGAAACGGTAACATACAGATTGACTATTCTGGGTTTGGTTCAAAATTCAAACAAATATCATCTAAAGCATACATCGGGTGAAACGTTGTGAATATGACAATAAAAACAAGGACAACAGTTCAAAAAATGTAAATAGTGTGAATAGTTAGTTATTATATACTAATATTTCTACTCTTGTCTAGGCTACAAAGTACATTTTCTGTATTCCTATAATTCTCAAGTCTGAGTTTAATAGATCAATTTTTATTTTATATATATATATATATATATATATATAAGGTCATCCCATAAGTTCTGCCCAAATTTTAATTTTTTGTTAAAATGAACGAAATTTAAAGAGTATTTTATAATGTCCAATGGAGCTGAACATTATTTTTATGTTTAGATGCATTTAAACTGATCAAATTTTATTTCAGAGAATAATAAAATTAAATTTTGTTTGATTAAAACCCTGCTAACATGGAAGTACCCAAGAATCATTTGAGGCACATAATGCTTTATGAGTTCAAGAAAGGAAACTCAGAGGCCGAAGTGGCTAGAAACATTCACTCAGTTTATGGAGAGGAATGTGTGAATGAAAGAACTTGCAGAAGATGGTTTGCAAAATTCAGAGGTGGAGATTTCACCCTTGAAGATGAAGATCGAACCGGACGTCCAGTTGAGTTTGATGAAAAGCTTCTTGAAGCAGCCATTGAAGAAAATCCTGCTTTATCAGTTGAGGAATTGGCAGTGGTTCTCAGTTCAAACCATACAACAGGAAGAGGTTAAAACTGACATTTGTGAGTTCTTCGAATCAAAGCTAAAAGAATTTTACAGTAATGGAATTAGTAAGCTTGTTAATAGATGGAAGCAAGTCATAGATAATCATGGAAAATACATTGTTGATTGAATCTGTAATTAAATGTAACATTTGGTCACTTGTTTTCATTATTCAAAATTCGGACAGAACTTATGGGATGACCTTATATATATATATATATATATAGAGAGAGAGATAGAGAGAGAGAGATAGAGAGAGAGAGAGTGAGAGAAGGCGGAGTAATGGATAGCGGCTTGGATTGAGGAATCAGAGAGCCAAGTTCGAATTCCAGTTGAATCCATTACATTCACTTACGTGCTAATACCCTTGGGAAAGGTGTGAATCCTCTTCTCCCTCCAGCTATGGTTAAATAGCAGGACAGACTGGGTTCTATAGCCTTGGATGGCAACTGGTCTAGGAGAAGGAAAACTCTGAATTCAAAACCTGCGGAGGGTCGTTTGGGGACCTTGTGGCACTTAGTGCACCAGGTCTCTGTATTCGGCCCTTCAAAAAAGTGTGGATGGTTCTGCATGAAACCTTCACCACTATAATCAAATCTCATGTGCTGTTGTCGGGCTGTCGTTTTCCTGGGAACTGATCTGCTTGACCCTCATACGGCGAATTTGACGGGAGAGCCGGGTATATATATATATATATATATATATATATATATCCCCACTCCACAACCAATAACTCTCTTCATCTATGTTTACAATCTTACCTGCCTAATGCTTTTACATCGACCAAAATTTTAAATTTAAGTTTATTTTCATAAAAAGTTTTGCACAGCAAGGAATCAAAGAGAGCTTTTGCTAATAATGATTTCCACCAGAAAAAAAAAAAACAAAAACATCTGTCAGTGAGCAATTCCCATTTCGCTGTTTATTTCTCTCTCCATTGATGAAGGACACAAGCGTGTCCGAAAATTCCAGACTTAAAACCTTTATTTCCATGCTTCATTTCTGTCATATGGTTAATAATTAATATTTAATAAATGTTTTTCATACTGATTATACTTTTGTTTGTACTTTTTTTATTAACTAACCTATCAATTTTGCATACTATAAGAAGCACATGTGGACATTTTCTTCTAATTATATATATATATATATATATATATATATATATATATATATATATATATTTACACATTTATTACACACACATTTTTTTTTTTTCTTATTGCTATTCTTAAACAGAGAAATTAATTAATAATAACTATCTTACACTGAGAAGACCTAATAGAGAAAGATTATACCCCCTACAGGAATCAAACCTGTACCCCTTTTCTATCAGGGAAACCACTTTTAGCACTGAAATGTGTTGTTACCAATTTGGCCACAGGGGTCATGTTGATAGAGCAAGGTTTGAATTACCTATTTAAGGAAAGCACATTTTCTCATTGAGACTTTTATAAATATATATCTACTAGTTTCAGTTTTGTACCAAAAATGCGAAGAACAGTCATTTTTTAAAGGATTTTTTTTAACCAACATTATTTATGTATACAACCATTAAAAGTTTAAGACCAACTTGCACCCATCCATCAGAGAAACTACTTCTATAGCCAAAACATTGTTACCAATTTGGCCATGGAGGTTGTGTTGAAATCTGCCTCGTCACTCCTGTATCGAAAGATCCATGATCACCTAAGCATGTATCACACATGACACATAACTGACTGACACCTTATGTTGGAACTTCTATGAATCTATATCTGCTAACTCCAGTTTTGTACACAAAACAGAAACATTATTTTATCCACCATTATATATATATATATATATATATATATAAGACATCTGATTAATGATTATCAAAATATTTTTTGCCATATAACAGAAGTCTCCATAAATAAGGAAATTTTAATGCTTCAATCAATCCAATTAATTATTGCAATCATATTAGATTCCATATAATAAAAAATATAATACATACTGTTTATAAGTACATTTTCAACATAAAAAACTTATTCTACTCTTTTAAATAAGAAAAGATTACATCACAAAGTAACATAACAATTACAAGGATGGTATCCATTAAATGAAAATGACAGGATTATTTACATTTGAATCAGTACTCTGGTCATTATAATGTAAATTAATATATGATCCAAATCTGCTAAGTCTTGTGTAAATTTTTCCATATATTGATTTGATATATTAACTACATTATATCACTTGAGACTCAACAGAAGAACTCATTAAAAGTTCTCTCTCTCTCTCTCTATATATATATATATATATATATATATATATAAGTCAATTATGTGCCATACATGATACACGCTATACAATGTTATAAGAATTCCGTCAGATAACATTCATTTATACATTAGGTAGAAAGAGAGAATTTAGAAAAAAAACAAAAAAACATTAACATATTTGTAGGAGTAGATATGGTCATCTATTGCCCCGTTCACACTCCTCCCTGGTCTTTTGAACAGGCATAGATATTTATCCTGATACTTCAAATGTCTTTGCTTAAACTCTGAAATTTTATTTACTATTTATTTTATTTCCTTCAATAGGAATATATATGTTCACCTATCATCCGATTTACACTCTTCCCTGTTTTTTTTTGAACATGAGTAGAGGTTTATCCTTTGTTTATTGTTCAGTATTGAGTATCTGGTTCCTTCTAAAATCTTATCATTCTCTTTCATTCCCAGTAGCCCCTTATGTCTTAGTGACTTTATTGCCTTGATTGGGGTGAATAGAATAAAATAAAAATAAACAAAAGGCAGAAGAAAGTTTACTTACATTGTGGAGATTGTGGAGTGGCAAAAATAGAGCCACTTTGTCCAGTGTTCATGTTTTTATAAAAATGTTGTTGTTCTAATGGATCGAGTATTCCAATTGGTGCTGAAATTAAAAAGGCAAAATATCTTTAAAAGATTTTTAGTAGGAAGTCATTCTGAATTATATTTTTAAAATGTGGTCTTTTGAATAGGGATGAAGACAGGCTGCAAGGATTCCAATTTTAAATATGTTTAATAAGAAAATTATATTCCGTTACAAATGGGAGTAACAGGTTTAAGCACATGTTGCTTTCAAAAACTGGGAATAAAAAAAAAACATAAAAAAATGCAGAGATTCAGCAGAAGAAATGGAAGTAGCCTCTTGTTCCTAAATTGAAATAAAATATTCAAGATATTTTTTTTAATATTGTTCTTGATTATTTCCAAAGTTACCAAAACATCTAGTACAATATGATAATACTTCATTACAAGATAACATCTTGAATTTTGATAAAACCTACCACAAAAATATTAAATTAATAAGGTTGTTTTTAAATAAGTTAGAACTGAAATGAAAAAACTGAAAAATATCCATGTAATGATTTTGATTCATCCCTTGTCTTTGAGACCAAAAAATTAATCTCAACCATGCATTTTTAGCCATTTAAAAATACAAAGAAACCTGAAAACGAATCAAAATTCTTTGAAAGAAGTTTTAATAATCACATCAATTAAAATAATTTTCAACATTACAATAACTTATCACCATTTAAACTTATTTGATTTTGACATCAAATACTATAATTGCATATAAATGACTATGGCTGGTTGCTCATTTTCCAAGAATCCCTGTCTGTCTGGGCAACTAGCCAAGCTGTTTCAGTTGCCTGCTCAGGCACATTTGTGTTTGTTCAATCACACACTTGTAGTTTATAATGCAACTATGATGTGTAGTCTTTAGTTACAGTTGCTGGGAGAGAGAGCGCATAATCTATCATGATCAGCAGGTTGAACAACATTGGTACACTCAAACACTTGGTCACGATGACTGACTTTGTACTAGCATAACTACTGACAACTTCTGAACAGTTCCATCTACCCAATTTCACTCACAATGCTTAGGTCAATCTGTGGCTTGGTTTCCATGCACTTTTCAAAGGTGCTGAAGACTAGGATTGCCTTCCCAGACCAATAACATCAAGGTCATCCTCCTGACAAACCAACTGTGGTGAGATTTGAACTCAGGCCTCATGCTCAGAAAGCGAAAGCTTGAAACACTTTGTCACACTTCCAATATACATACATATCCTCTGGATTACATCCTCTTTGGAATTATCCCCACAGATTACCAAAACCTTCATTACCTTACTATATATATATATATATATATATATATATATATATATACACACACACACATAGGGTGTGATGGATAAATTGTTTAGCTAAATTATGCAAAAATGAAAATAATACTGACATCTCATTTTAACAGATATATTTACCAAAATTATACAAAAATATCCTGAAATACTAAAGAGTAAATTTATTTGATAAAATCACCATTGCCATCAGACAACTTCAGAATCTCTTACAACTCTTCTGTCTGGTCTTCTTGTTTAAGTAGGTGAATGCTGGCATAATCCTTGCCTTCAGTTCATCTTTGGTGTTACAAAAAGTTTTGTTGGTCTCTCAGTCAACTGTGCCCCAAACATAATAATCAACGGGGTTTCAGTCTGGGAGTTAGGCAATTTATTTTGCTTACTAGTTTGTGCACTCTAGAAAACTATAAAAAATTCGCCCTCTAGCAGGATTGGAACCTGTGTCCTCCTTTGCAGGAGAAATCACTGTCTGGTCTGGTGTGCTTTGAAGCACATTCACTCATTGATTTTCTAAAAAACTATATCTGCATATCAGTTTTGTATCCAAAATGTAAACAAAGCAATTTCTAAAGAATTAATGGTTTTGATTTTTAATTATTTTTTATATATATATATATATATATATATATATATATATATATATATATACACACACACACACACACACACAAATACATACTCACATTATTACACTTGTTTATCAATCATACAACATTTCATGTACAAAAACACTAAATGAAAAACAATCATATACACTTGAGGTTTCATTGGCAATTTATTTCATAAAACCAAGATGTTTAACAAACTTCCATCTCCTGTTAAGCATTCACTATATACAACTAAGAATTCATAATGGATAACTAAAATTGATATAAAACATTTTTAAAAATATTTTGAAAATTTTGATTGAATTTTTTTTATAGTTCAAGATACATTGTCAATTAGCAATCTTGCATTAAACCTAAGCCATTTATAGAGCTTAATTAAATAAACAAATTCAAGACACTTACTTAAGCCATTATTATGAGTATCCAACTCCATGGTCATAGTGTCTATTTCCAAACGTAAACTTTCAATAGAATGGCGCAATTCTAATACATCTAATTCCTGAAACAAATACAAAGGATTTATATATATATATATATATATGATAAAATTCTCAAATAAAATTGGTACCATATTTTACCTATTTTTTTTTTTTTTTTTTTTTTTTTCAAATAAAAATTTCAAAATGATGTGTTTAAAAAAAAAAAATCTTTGTTGTTCAAAGCATAATTTTTTAAGCAATAATATTTTTTTGTATTTTAGAAAGATTTTCTTTTGGAATATAAAAATAAATTATCCATACTTAGAATGTTTGAAAAAAAAAAAAAAAAAGAAAAAAATTTTTTTTTTTTTTTTTTTCCAGTTAAATATTTAGTACTGACAGACCACCATATTTGACAGTGTAAAGATCAATTTTGTGAAATATGCAACCCCTCTAATTTTCAAGGTTTTCTTTGTGTATTGCAGGCTAAATGATTTTGAGAGCTCATTTCTTGTACGAATGTGGAGCAGAACTGAAAATTAATGTGGTTCATAAATACAAAAATATAGCATTTATTGATAAAAACAAAAAATTTCAACCTGAAAGTTGATCAACATTGTAAAATAGTTTTGCAAATGAAAGGAAGTAGATATCAATTTTAAACACAATGATAGACTTAACAATTAAAACATTGTATAATTATCTAGTAGATTATTTTTTTCTATTTTATGTGTCATTTCAGGTTGGGTTGATTTTTTGCTGTATTTCATAAAATTTGAGAGTTCCAGTTTTGTGTTTTTTTGTTTTTTTTGGTAATGATTAATAGTTTTTAGACAAAAAAAAAAAAAGAAAACAGATAAAAAAATAATTAGAAGAGATACAAATGAGTAGAAATATATAAAAAAAACAGATCAAAGAAACAAGTAATATGTTTTTTTTTTTTAAAAGAATTAAAATAAATAACAGTATATTTATATTCTACTTCTATTCAATTTGAAAATATTAATTTTTCTGCAATTAGCAGTTGTAATTTTTTCTAAAAAAAAGTTTACAAGCTTATTTATTTCATACATCAAAATTATTCAGCAATGATCAATAATAATAATGGGTTTAAATTATTACACTGCCAATATTAAAAATCTTATATTCCAATGTGTCAGTCATTAAAAATAAATAGTTATTTTCTTCATGTTAGTCTGAGAGTAACCTAAAGATAATGCAATAAAATTATTAGATATCCCAAAATGGCTGAGTTTACACTGCAAAAACATCAAAATAGTGAAAGTTTCTTCAATTTCAACTGCTGATATCGATTAATTTTGAGTATTCCGATAAAATTAGTATGCAAACAAAATTTAATCTTTTCTCTTTCATGAGCCTCGTAACTCATTAGGGGCACCACATGTACTGTAGCCGCAGTAGCAGTGATGTTTTTTGGGTAAGATAACCTGACGGAGCCCAACCCTCTCCAGGCTGGTTTTAAATTTAGATGTTTTTCCTTCTGTTGCCACCCAAGACTATAGGACACAGTCTGTCCTGCTATTTACCCATAGCTAGAGGGAGAAGAGACAGATTCATACCTTTCCCAATTGTATTAGTACATAGCTCTCTGATCTCTCAATCTGAGCCACTATTCATTACTCCATAGTGCCTCCTTTATAAAGATACAATTCTTTTTCATGTGCATGAAAATTAGTTTTTATTTCATGGCTCTTTAAATTATGTTACTATTTCAATGGCAGCAAGCACATATTTCATATTTTCAAAGCTGACAATTTCATAGTGGTGTTTTACACATATCAAAATAGTCCCATTCAAAGAAAAAAGGATGCTCATCAATTTGATGGATGTATCATAAGGTTTGAAGTTGTCTTGGAAACATTCAAGGATAAAATACCAGAAAATTCAATACTTAAAAAATAAAAAATTAAAATTGCACCTTCCTGTAGAGTAGCGTCTTGTTTTTTAATAATCAGTTTGTTTCATATCTTGGTGCCCATACAACTCAATGCGAAAGTGAATCAAAAAGAGGGTATATTGTATTAATTTCAAGCAGCAAAGCTTGTAGGTCTGACACATCAAAATTTTGTATTATTGAGTGAATAAACATTGCCATCCGAACCACATTTTAAATCAAACTTGTTTCATCAATGGATATTACAGTTTAACTCTTTTTCTTATACTTCTTTAATGATACATTTTAAAACTGTTTAAAGTACTTATTCATTGTATTTTGTCCAAACTATGACATTCAAATCACTTTTACCTCAGCTGTTGTCTTTATGCATTTTCTTAAAAAACATTAAACTGAATTCATATTATAAAATAAATATATTCTTAGTTCTTTAATTTTTACACCTACGTTTGTAAAAAATTAATATTAAAAAGTGTCCAGTTTTACTTTTAATAGTCCTTCATTTCATTTATATTAAAATAAAAAAAAAATAACTGGATACATTTAATAAAAAAATAAAATACAAAATGAACTGGATACATGGTATAGCTGAATTTTGGCACTTTGGTCAACAAAAAGTTTAAATATAAGTAGGTAATTTTCAAAATGTAATCAGTTTTCTTTCCTTTTTTTAAAACGATTATTTGTTTACTAATTCTAAAGGTTAAGTCCTATTTCAGAAATTAAAAGGAAATTGTTGCAAGGATATCTTTTAATAGTTCTTCAACTTTTGCAACATGCGTTATCTGTTCGCAATTTATTTTTTTTCTCTTAAGCCATTATGGAAGATATTAAGCTTATCTTTCTTTTTTTTTTTAAGCGGGTATCTGTTCATTTTCTTTTTTAATCTTTTTTTATCTATTAGTGCTTTCCACACCAAAGACACCGATACAAGTGTTTAATAAAATTTACATTTAATCTTCTGTTCAGTGGATGATGAATTAAATGCACTGAAAAGTAGTTTTATTCTAAGTGGGAGAAGCAAGCTGAAGAAGACCTCAAATTCCTTGCAATATATGAAAAGGTTGCTAATAAAATTAAAAACTGTATGATGAAGGAGAGAGACATTACAGTAATAAAACTTTGGATGGAACTTCATCTCCACCTTTAAAAGAACATCATAGAAAGAAAGAAAAGACACTCAATGAATCTGAGTATTCAAACAATTCTAGCATTTGTGATGAAGAAGAACCATTTCAAAATGGCCTTCAGTTATGAGCACCAAGGTCAATGGTTTGTAGTATACTATTTTACAAATTTTACATTGACTAAGTCATTGATATTACATCTCTGCCCAGTGCTGTAATCAAAATTTAATTCCAACCAAAATCAGAAATGGTTATTTTTGATGAACTTTGTTAGATGATATTGCACAAATGACGTCAACATTTGTCTTTAAATGGGACTTTGATATAACTTTCAAGAGATAATAGGATATGGAGTGTTCCAGGAATATTGGCTATGGCAGACACTTATAAATAAATTCAAACTACAAATCACCATTAGAAGAAGAAATACAGAAGGATCATTCCAACTATCCAAAAAGTCTTTTTTCATCAGTTTTTTAGTTTGAAGATAAAGGAGTTTCAAAAGCTTTTTACAATAAGCATTTTTTAAAGGATTGACCAATGATGCATTTCAAAAGACAAATTTCTAAGTTTTTAGTCATTACTGTCCTTTTTTGACAAGTTAAAAATTGCATAATTTCACAAAATTTTCAAAAATTAGATGCATCTATGACAAAAGGTATTCATATCACAGAGAAAAGAGCCAATTTGTTGAATTCCTCACCCCCAAATTAGTAAAGTTCAAAAGTTTCAGGCACATACCATGAATGGATACTTTTTTATGGTAAGTTCAAAATAGTATACTTTTGACCTGTTAATATTTAACAACTCCCCCACGAGGGAGGTATGTGGTACAAGGCCGAGTTTACTGTGGGTTCTTCGAGCCCATAGGCCCAGCCAAAAATATTCCCTTAGAACCCGCATAAACGAGTTCAGGGTCTGTCTACCTCCCCAGATGAAACTTTGCCCTTCAGCAAAGCCCTGTCCGGGTTCTCTCTGCCCAAAGACAGAGTTTGACAGTTGAACAATCTATATAATTTACTTTTTGACCTGTTTTTGCACTATTGCACTTCAGGATATATTTATATGGTGAAAATGTGAAATATTTTTTTAATTGATGGACTGCTGAAAAAAAAAAAAATTAGCTTTATCTCTGCTGTGTTATGAAACATAGCAAAAAGTTGCAAGGCATTAAGTGTTAAAATGAAACTTATTTGAAGAATCAGAATTTTTTTAATAATTTCATTTTTCAGAATGCAATTTTTCCCAATGTTTAGGCTGATTGAATCTAATAATTATTGATTCCATTAGTATTATATTTCTTTTTTACTTCAATACTACCTATATGACATTACATTTATAAAGATTTTTAACTAGGTTGAAGCTGACATTTTCAGTTATACACTGTTGAAATTGGCTTCTAGATCAATAGCACGAGATGGAAAATTTTCAAAGTTCGTCAGAACTTTGAATGGTCATAACTTTGTTGCTAATTAAGTTACCAAGATAAATTCTGGAACCATTGACTGATCTAGGGGTGTTACATAGGACAAAACAAGTGATAGTCTGAAAGAGACAGGTCTGGAGAATGTGATGCATGCAGAAGAATTTTCCATCTCAGCACTAGGGTTAATTGCTGCATCATATTTACAACATGAGGATGAGCATTGTCATATAGAGATATCACTGGTTTATTCCCTAGCTTAGGTCTTTTCTTTTCCAACCTATCAAACAAGAAAATTGTTGACTATAGCACTGCACAGTAACAGTTCTAGTTATTCATAATAAACAATAATTTAAAAATATAATTGAGATAAGTTCAAGGACAAGATCTCAACTGATCAAAATAGTCATTAAGACAAGAAAAATGCATTGAAATAAATACAATATGAGAGCCATTAATAAAGACAAATGACAGCAGGACTTCAACAGCAGCAATAAAAGAGAATGTTTCAATGAGTGCAGTCAAGCCTGAATAGCACAGCAGCACTCACCAGCAGGTTGGTTAAGTTTAAGGCTCCAAGTTCTCCACACAAAATTGTCCTAAGGGACAGTGGATTAAAGTATTGGTTTGTGAATTTGATGACATAGTAATTGAGTTCAATTCTTGGGCCGGGTAGTGTGTATTTGGACTCAACTGGATATGAGGCAAGCAATAACTGAGCAGTACTAAAATAAGAACTAGATGAGATATCCCTAGACACAGGCAGTGGAACAAGAACCATATACTGCTATAGATTAAATAAAAGGTTCAGTTCGAAATTCTCTGTAGGTTACCAAGATTGATTGCTGTTGTGATAATAAAGAAGGGAACAATTGACCACATGTAAATAATGATAACTCCTCATCCCAGAAATTCAGACAGAAAAAAAAACAAACAAGAAGCTATTAGAAAAGATTACACAAATAATAATAGCTAACCCATTGAACCAGAGCAGCCATTATACTGGCTGCTGTTTGAAAATGTATATAGCATACACATTGGAAGGGGGTGTTCAGAGTTCAAACAGTTAAAAAATTGGATCTTAGAAACAAACTATGCAACAAAAAAAATTGACCATTTCTTTTATACTTTTTTTTTTTTAAGCCAATAAATCATTAATTAATTGCTACATTTAGTTATAGATGAGCAATACAGAAATGGGTTTTGTGAATTTAGAGACAGAGTTTCAAGAAATTTTATGACTGAATGTGATTAAAATATTTTTTTTACTGCAAAACGAAATGAGGTCATTTAACCAACAACATTCAAATTCAATTACTGTGAAATATTTTAGCAAAATCAATAGAATTTACATATTTTCTTTTATTTAACCATAACAAAAGAGTATCTTTTTTATGAATGTATTAAACTAACAACCCAAATATTTGAAATCTTTAGAATTGTATTTAAAACAAAAAAAATCAAGAGATATAGAAGAATTTTAAGTTTGTATTATGCCCTGAAAACAAGGTTTCTTTGATTCAAGCTGCTAAAATGTTTTTTATTTTTTTTAAAAAAAAAAAAAGCAGAAATTACTTACAGTTGGAAAATTTCGTTTTGAATAACAGGCCTTTTTATCTCTGGACAGTTCTTCTATTTCTTCCTTTTAATTCTTTATACTGAGCAAGCAAAAGTTCATAATCTTTGTTTAATTTATCATACCTCAGGCGTTGATGTGTTATCAATGCTAAAAAAAGAAAAAAAATATCTATTACATGCACATAAAAACAAAATAATCTAAATACACAAAAGCTAGAATCAAGATATAATTAAAAAAAAAGGCTTAAAATCTAGTTACAACCCCCAAGATGATAATTCAGCAAGCAACTTCCTAGAGGTTAATTTCCAAAAACATTAGTAAGACCATATCAACATTTTCTTTTGTACATTTTATTATGTGGGGGAAGAAGTCTACTAGGAAGTTTATGTGAATTCCTAAAATATCAAAATTGAAGCTAACAAGATTTTTCTAATTGTATTTCAGCAGTGGTTCTTTTATTAGATCAATTAAAAATAAATCAAGTATATCTATTCCCAATTGCAAATTGGTATTATAAAAAAAGAATTTTTTTTATAAACAAAGATTTACTCCAAGAAAAATAATTTTCTATATAGCTTTTTAATCTTTTGACAAAGAAAAATAAATTCTAATATAAAATTAAAAAAGGAAATACTTAATAAATAATCTATACTGGTCAAATTTAACAAATATTTTGTGTTTAAAAATAGAAAATTATCTAAGGAAATAATTATCTCATAAAAAAAAAAAGAAATTAATTATCACAGTCTAGACTTAGCCAAACACAATATTAAATGTGACAAATTTGTTTTAAAAATCATTACACTCAGTCAAGGATTTTATAAGTATTTTTTTTTTTTAAAAAAAAAAAAAAAAAAAAAGGATATGAAAAGCCTTGAAAAGCAGTTTACAGCAAGAATACTGATTAAATATGAATCAGACCTTTTTTTAATCATTCAAAAGAATAATGGTCAACTCTTGTCACAATGCTATTTAGATTCTTTGAACAAATAGATAATTAAGTGCCATATGTGATACATACTTTTGATTCATGACTTACTAGGCAGATTTTCCCGCAGTAGGTTGCCGTTTCTTTCTGTGCAGTCTGTCCTGCTATTCAAACCACAGGCTGGGGTCTCATAGAAGATGGATTCATACCTTTCCCAGCAAACAAATAGCCATCTATATTTCATTACATTGTTTATCACCTTAATTTTTAGTAATATTTCAACAGTTCTCTTACAGACACAGAAAAAAAATTTCTTCAAAGTGGTTTGTAAAATTGGTGAAAAACTTAGGCAAAATTATAATATCAAATCTCTTATTGACTTTATTTCAAATTTTCATGCTGATATATGAATAATATTTTTTCTCAAATTGCTTAAATTTAAAGCTAAAAATTAATGGGAAAAACACCAATGCAAAATTTTCAAAATTCAAATTATATATTATTTGTGCACAAATTATGTGATAATCACTATTAATCCATACTTCTTCATAAATAAGAAATAATATGGATAACTGACTGACATGAACTTTTTTAATTTTAATATTACACTACTTGTCACTTCATAACTGATCTGTTTTGAGGCATTATTTTCATCACTAGATAAGAATTCTACATAGAATGGAAACATTTGAATATTGTAGCACTACTGCTTCATTACTATTTCTAATCAATTCTTAGAACAGAATGTTAACAGTGTCAGTACTGACAAGAGCCCATTACTAAGAATGTTAATTTCATTAGGTTGTTACATATATTTGTTAATTGTTTTTGATGTTCTGATCTTGAAAAAATAATCTTTCATAGCACTTTTTGTTACTTAGTAACTGTGGTATTATCCTGTGAAACTGTTGTCTAATGTTATTGAAATTTTATTTCAGATTAGACAAGCCTTTGAGATGGAATGCCAAGTAGACAAGAATGAATGTGTTCGACATCTTCTCTTTGCTTTTAATCAAGGTCACAAAGCTGCCAAAACTGCTTGAGACATTTGGTGCTGTGTACAGAGATTAAATGCTTCAGAGCAACCAAACAGTCAATGCTAAGCTGCATGTTGAACAAATAAACAGGCTCAAAGAGGCAATTCTGTTGAAAAGATCTGACCAACAATACAGTGTGATTATTCAACACGACAATGCTCACCCCCACATCGCTAACATGACCAAACATGCATTTAAAGAGATCAGTTGGCAAGTTCTGTAACACCCACCGTAGTCTCCAAATTTAGCACCTTCAGACTACCACAGATTTTTTTTGGTCACTTTCTAACAATTTGACAGGTGTTTCATTCAACAATTATGTTGAGCATGGTTTGATGAAGTTTTTGAGTCAAAAACTAGTGAGGCATTGAACAGTGAATTGTTGGCAGGTCAATGAACGATTCATCAGAATTATTAATAAATAATGAAATAAATGATAAAAACGAACAAATTTGTGCAAAAACCTAATAGTAATCATTGTGACAATCTTATATTTTTCTCGTGTAAGAGTTTAAAGAGAAAAATATAAAAGGTAAAACAAATATATGTTGACGTTGTTGTGACTACACATGTGCATAAAAAGAGATGCTAGTAGTTTCAAAGTCTGCCATGGTGAAACGTAAGAACCTGGATATAAATTCACTGTGAATGAACTAGTGATTAAAGTACTTTCTAGACATTTTCATGTTAGTAAATTATTTTCTCTTAATTAGAGTAACTTGTCATACTTGATATATAAAAAATTTATATATTGTTATCACATACATTATATATTATTTATTTTTACTTTTCTAATTTTTGAACATTAATGGTAAATTCAAGTGTATCCATATGTTAAACACATGGTAATACTGAAATATTGAAATGTTACACACTAATTATCAAAACCAAAGGCTAAGATGAATATTATTTTGAAAGTGCTTACCATTAGTATAATCAGAATCTTCTTGTAAGCTTCCATTTCGTGGCCGAGGCATTTGTACACCATCGCTTGAACTAGCAAAAGATGGTAGAATAGGCATTTGACTTGCTGTTCGGTTTTTCATTGTTTCACTGGATGTACTGTTTCCTGGTTGGCCTGAAGAGTTATTCATCTGTATAGCAGGATAGTGTATAATAGCAGAAGTGGTGCTACTGCCAATATTCTGTTGAGGCAGTGGTGTTGTTTGATAAGTAGTTGAGGAAACATGGTGCACTGTTGAAGGTGAAGATGTGGTTGATTGAACCTGCACAGGGATGCAAAGCTGTTGTGAGCTGAACCCTGGATTAACATCTGACCTCCTGGAGGCAGGATTTGGGGAGGTGGGCAAATGTGGGAAAGTATCTGGTACTCCATGCCCACTATAACCAGGTTGTGGTGAATACAAACTCCCAGATTGCGAACCTGGATCACGGTGAATGAATGGTTATTACCCGTGAGGGCCGTACCATTTGAGGCTGTAATCTGGGATTTGGGGAAATAACACAGGTACCACCACTGCTAGGATTTATAACAGTCTGATGGTTTGTCACATTTTGGTTTGGAGTGTCAATGAAAAGGTTAGCTTTTTGCAAAATGCTGTGCTGATGCAGTAGAAGTTGGTGTAATCAGTACTTCATGGCTTTTTTGGCCAATTCCATTGATTTCCATTGTTAGGACTGGATGAAGAACTACTACAATTAGAGGGAGATTTGCAAAACATATGGGTGTTTGGAGAGTCTGGCTTAGAAGTTGTAATATGGTGTACAGCAATTTGCATAACTGGAGGAGAAGACTGGCATTTTATGTTAGGAATTGTACTGGAATCGAACTGGTCTTGATGAAGGGTCTGAAATCTGGATTTAGATTGGGTTTTATTTCAGATATGTTTGGATTTTTACAGGGACTCCAAGGTTTGTTTGCATTTCCAGAGTAAGAAGCAGAGCTGTCAATGTTGTAATTAATCCAGCTGTTGCTCATCTGATGATGATGATTGTTGTTTGGGTGGCTGGAGGAAGACATACCGAATACTCTTTATTTAGAGCTTCCAAACATTTTTCTCGATTGTTTGAAAACTGTATGAAATTATAAAAGGAAAAAAAGAAAACAAAAAAAAAAACATTAATTAAACATCATCAATAAAATGCAATGCAAACAAAGAATAAAGAAAAGGAAGAATAACTTCATCTCTATAGGTTGAAAATATAAATTGATGTATAAAAATTACATAAATAACAGACTGAAAACATCCAACATCATGCAAAGTGACTGGGAAAACTTATCATGAGAATCTCCATCCTGGTAGAAAGCAGCACACAATGGTAATAAAGACTTTGAACAGAATAGTATTGTGATTGAAAATTCAGAGATAAGTGTCTTAATGTTAATTTCCCTGAAAATGTTACTACAATATTTGATCTAACATGTTATCAATGTGGTCACATTTGCTTAAGCAGGTTAGGACTTAAAAATCATCTAAGATGCCACACAAAACTAAATTTGAGAGAAGTATTCATTACATATTATGAAGTATTTATGTAGCAACTACCACTTTAAATGACATTCAAAATGTTGCCTGATCTGTTCAAGAGAATGTAAGGCCCTAGCAAAACTAAAAAGTAACATATGTGCTGTCTATATTTGAGGATGAATCAAGTGATGATATTGCTCAAAATAGTATTGTATGTATGCTCAATGGCTACACCAGTGTCATATATGAACAATTTAATTTGTTTTCCTTGCTTTCCTCTCATTTGTTTTGTCATTTTTCCAAAATTCAGATTGAAATGTCAGCATTTTGTATTTATATTTGATACCACTTTTTTTTTTAGCAGATCATTTGGACTAACATATTTGAATTTTATTCATGCTGACAAATATCTTCATTTGTTTCAAAAATGCATCATTTTAATATGAAAATTGCATATAGTTTTTTTAATTATTGTTTGTTTGTGTTTCCTAATAGACAGACATACACAAAAAAATGCAACAGTAAATTTTGTAGCTGTTTCAAGAAAAACAATTCTTATTTCAAAAGGACTGTTTTGGTGGCCTTGCCTCTGCACACTATGTGCATAAGTTCTCTGAATTAAGTTCTCCCAAAAAGTGTAGATAATTCTGCAAAAGCCTTTACCACTATAATCAAATCATCCTGTCATGTGTTGCAGCTCTGTCCTCTTGGCAACTCTGATCATGCAGCAGTGTCTATAGATGACTCTCCCACCAGTTACATACCTCCCATTAGCAGAATTTCTTTCTGTTACCAATGCACTGACTGGAACTCATTTTGGGACTTCCTTTGTGATGTCTCCTCAAAGGATATTTTTAATCATCCTGTTCAGAAATGTGCCAGAGAGAGATCTCTTCCTAAATAAAAGCTGGCATCAAGGCTTTCATTCCAGCTCAGAAATACCAAGTGAAACCATGATCATCTCCCTGGTTCTCACTTGCCTGCTTATCCACTATAGTCCACAGAAATTACTTCCAGCTATACCAGAGTGACATGCCTGATTGTAACAGACATCTCTTTGTCACTTCCTGTAATGACTTCAAAGAAGCAAAGACACTATTTGTTGATAGAATGAGACACTATATAACCTCTCACAAGTTTGATTGTAGGGATTATTGGTGGCTCTGCAAGAGTGTATTAAACAATAGCAAATCCTCAGTCCCTTCAATCAATTTAAAATATTGACCTGTACTGCAGATAAGATAGAGTGCTTTTTCCCAGAATTTCTTCCAACTCTACTCTTGACTCATCTGAGTGTTGTATACCCCCCTCTTCTGGGGAGGTCTTGACCACTGTGCCAAATAAGCAAGTTGTATAGTCCCCTTGTTCTGGGGGGATCTCTTAGTTGACAGGTCGATTCCATAACATATCTTCTCGCCTTCATTTTCTCCCAGCTTGGTGTTGAAATGTTTTTGGGTTCAGAGATAAAAGACATCAACAAAAGGGATTTTAAACTTATCTATTTTATTACACATGTCAACATGTACATTTTTAATTAGCCAGTGGGGTCACTCTATCACACCCACTGGGGAGCAAGTTCCCCGAGACACTAAATAACCACATCAACTGTGCATGACATGTAAAAACTTGGCCCCCTGAAATCACTTTCTATCTCTCTAACATTCCCACATTCAGTTCAGCCAATCAAAATCAACATTCCTATTTTGTCTATCATCTGACCTTAAAGGTCAGCTTCAGAAAGACTGAGCCAAAATACACTGTTACTAAAAAAATAATAGTCTGAAACTATTATTTAACATTCCTTACTTAACAAAAAAAAAAAAAAAAAAAAAAAAAAAAAAAGTCATTTATGAATTTTATTTCAACTACATATATTTAACACTCCTTACCCAACTATCCAAAAGATTCATTTATGAATTTTATTTTAACTATTTACTCTAAAGTACCCTCTATAATTTCATGTATGCAGGGTATGCTCCTTATATTTTCTTTTCATTGGGCCTCGGTCACATGACCCCTCCAGTATGCACATATACAATTCCTGAAAAAGAATTAACAAAAACAATGAAATTCTAACTAGTTTTTCATGCTTCACAAACATTTTCTTTTGTTTTGTTTTTTTTAAACAAAAAAACAGAATAGCGGACAATCCTTTGTTCATTCTTGGTCACTGGCTTCCGTGATATGAGGTAAATGCCTCAGATGCCAGTCTGGATACAAGTCACTCAACAGTAAACTTTGACCTCTCCAATATCCTCTCAACCCAGGTCAGCAGCTATCACCTTTGCAATCCAATATTCCTGGGGAGAACAAAATTCCTTGCCTTTCCAGTTGAGACTACACAGAATTTACATACAATTCATTGTAAAATAAATATACTGGTCCAAAAAACACACAATATATGCCAAAAGCCCAACACCACAGTGTCTACTCTCCTCTCCCACTCACAGTGACACAGCACACATGGTCCATTATCACCCTACTTATTCAAACAATTGCTTTTTTACTTGCATTTTACCAGATTCACTTGAATAGATCTTCACAATTTTTTGCCACCATTAATTTCCTATTGTCACTGTTATTGCTCATCTGCCTCTGTCTGCCCAAAACTCATCTCACATCATCTCAAATTCTTCTGCCCTGACTGTCCCCATGGGGAAAACAACCACGCCTGTTCAGCATCTCCTAACTAATCCACTGGCTCTACTGTGGTTACTTGCTTCTGTATTTCAATACACTTGTTCAACCTACATTCATTTTCCATGTCTTTCCTTTCTGGCCCCTAAAATAGACCACAACAACTTGGTGACAAGGATTCGTACTTCACATTTCCGTTGCCACAACACTATGTCTGCTGCAAGGAAGGTTGGTCCACTGTGTTGTGGCAAAAATTTTTCTCCTCAGAATCTACCTATAAATCTATTATTTGTCCATATATTGAATACTGTTGCCACATCTGGTGCTGCTATTGTACATCGAAAGTGTCTTGGCAAAAATCCAGAGAAGGTTCTGCAATATAATCGCTTCCTGACGAGACTCAGTTACTTTCTCACTGATGTGATGTGGCTTCACTCTGTTCTACAAATATTTTCAAGTTAATTGCTTTTTTTCCCAGACTAAATGAATTTGAGCATGCTACTACTGTTGAACTAGATAGATGTAACCATCATTTCTACTCTAAGTTTTTTTCTCACACTTCCAACCTGTTGAATTCCTTCCAATTTCCTGCTTCCTTGATAACTACAATCTTCAAAGATTTAAATGAAACATCATCTGTCTTCTTGTTCCATTTTTTCCTCTTTCTTCAATCTCCTCAATTTTCAATCTTCTCATTCTCATTCACACCTTCTAGCGGCATTGTCACCTTGCTTGGAGTGAAATGAATAAAAATAAAAAATGAAGAGTGGGTAGTCTGACAGTTCAGTCCTAGGAACTGAATTGTTGGACCCTCACACATCATATCACATCACTGTCCATCATATATAACCAGTCAAATTCATTCATGCTAAACATTAAATATGGATGTGTATATGCCCTTATATTCTGCAAGGTTAATTAAAATATCTTTACAGCAGACACTTGATAATATTTCTCACCTGTTTTATCATATTCTGCAAACCGTAATTCAGAAGCTTATGGAAATCTTTCTTTCAACTCTACAAAGAGCTGTACACTCAAATTGGATTCTCCTCAGCCATCTTGGAGTGCTGTTATACAAACCAGACCCTACAAAATATATTTGAAAAATACAATTCAAATAAATGAAGCTACTTTTTTTATAATAGAAAAGCAAACTGTGCTTGAATTTAAAACATAAAAATAATATCACTATAAATTTATTTCATGAATTGATAATACAGCTCAAGAATGAGTTAAAGGCATCTGATTCTATAAAAGCCAATATGCCACTATTTTATTACAATACAAATATATAGAAATGAGATCTTGGCATGATTCAAGCATCTGTCCTGCATGTAGACAGTTATGTGACATATCTGATTATGCCAGCACAGAAGATTCTAGATTTTCCAACAGTGATCATACTAAAGATCACTGTAAGACTATGTTATAATGCTTTCCAAGATTTTACTCAAGTTCTTCCAGTGAATAAATTATAGCAATTGTTCTTTGATTATTTTTGTAACTATTAATTTAATTTAGCAAGTGAGAGATTATTTTAATTTGACAATTACTTGAATTAGTCACATTTAAAAAAAAAGAAAAAAAAAAGACACACACACAAAAAAAAAAATACTGTTAAAAACAATAAAATGTAAATTTAACATTTCCTTGGTCATTTTATAGACATTAACAATATCTGTCTATATTTCTGAGATGAAATATTGAAACTATTTACACTATTTGGACTGTTGTCCTCATCTTTATCACCATATTCTTATCACATTTTAGTCATTGTATGCTTTGAACTTCTTCAGCTGATATTTGTTGGAATTTCAAACCAAATCCTTTTAGTCCATGCCTTTTTTTGGATATCTCAGTTTTAGTGGACTAAATAAAGGGTTCAGTTTGAAATTCAACAAATATCATCTGAAGAAGGACAGAGCGTTCAACAGCTGAAATGTCATGAATATGGCAATAAAGATCAGGACAACAATGTAAATAGTGTAAATATTAACAAGATAGTTGTTTACTTAAAGTTTAAAAATCCATTACTATTAGCAGAACTTTTTTTTTAATTCTCTTTTTAATCAATTCACCTTAGGTATGGTGATAATGTGACTAAGGCATAAGTGGCTACTGGGAGTGAGAAAGAATGAAAAGACTATAGAAGAAACTGGAAACCCAACCCTAATCAGGGAACAAGGGATAAACCTCTCCTGTTAAAAAAAAAAAAAAAACCCAGGAAGGTGTATGAACTGGATTTACTAATAAATATTTTAATGCTGCACTCTGTACTTTTCAAACTATTACCATTCCCAGATAATTATAAAAAAAAGTCTCTCTCAAAAAAACACTGCAATGTCCTCAACAGATTGCTAGGTCATGAAACAATTTAACCTTTCACGACAAACAACTGCTTCTAAGATAACCCCTGCCAATCATGCTCTGTGTTGCATTGTTTTTTCTCTACACATCTCTCTTTTTCTGTTTTACTCTCTATGTCCATCTCTGTTTCTGTTTGTTTTCTTGACCAAACATGACAAGCATATTAATATATAGGTAATTCATTTCAACTAGCACTGTACCCATCAAAATGTGAATGGATTATAACAAAACATTAAAAATCTATCTATTCATATAATGGATGTTTGAACAATGTAACTTTTTTTCTATTGGTTTGTGTGGTCTACACAGCAGGACAAAGGATAAAGAAATTTAATAGTGAAAATTAAAGAAAATGATACAAATGCAGACAAAAATTATGGCTAATTAAAGAAGTTCTACAATATATATAAATAATACCAAATTGTAATTGGTAGGGATTATTCCAAAGAGGACTTTTAGTTTTAGTCCATATGAGAGCTTAATGTATGATGCAGAGCACATTATAAGAATAATTAGAAAAAGACTTAAAAATCCATAGTCAGTAATAAATTTACTTTGATAAATATCATCTCATGAAACCAACTACATACTGACAATGGACTTTTAAGGTTTCTTTTCTAATTATTCCTATATATATCTCATTTTCAATACAAATAAGGCAATAATTCCACTAGGATGAAAGGGGTTACAGAGAGTGAAAGAGAATGAGAAGACTTTTGTGAGGAGAAGTGAGAAAAAGGACAATAAAAGTACACGGTTCAGGAAGACAGAAGATGGTAATTGATATTGCATTTAAATTTTTGAAGAAATCAGAAGGGAGTTCTAAATGTGAGAAAAGAAACTGTTAGAATAAAATTGGTGGTTGCATCTAGCTAGTTCAACAGTAAAATGAGGACACCTAGTTGCTAATCTAGTAGCACATTTAAATTCATACAGTTGGAGCACCAGAGAAGAAAGCTCATCAGAACAGTTACCATGAAAATATTTGTAGAAAAGACAGAGGGAAGCCATGTCACGTTGGTGAGAAAGTGACTGAAGTCGAGATGCCAGGCCAAGATCGATTAAATTACAGATCTTTCTTTGAATTTTGTTAAGAATCTCAATATTGCTGTCATATATGGTCTGGAGCCCCCATTGCTTGTCTTAGGGTCCTTGATAAAATCCAGAGACGAATATGCAATGTGGTTGGCTCTGATCTGGCATCTCATTTACAGTTGCTCTCTCACAGACATGTCATCGCCTCCTTCTGTCTTTTCTACAAATACTTTCACAGTAACTGCTCCAACGAGCTATTTTCACTAGTTCTCAAACTGCATGAATTTAAATGCGCCACTAGGTTGGCATCTCAGTCCCACCCTTTCATTGTCGAAATGGTTAAATGTAGCCATCTCTTCTACTCCAATAGCTTCATGTTTCGCACTTCCAGTCTGTGGAATTCCTTTCCTCTTACTTGCTTCCCTGATAGCTATAATCTCCAACTATTCAAATGCAATGTCAGTTGACATCTCCAGATGCCTTGATCTATTCCCCGTCCTTCTCTTCATCCTTCCCTCTCTCATGCCTCTTTACTCCTGCTCCCACTTTCTGTAACCCATTGCAAGCTAGTGACACTCCAACCTTGCTTGAAGTAAAAAAAAAAAAAAGGTATATCAGACCAGATATGGCAGCAGTATTCTATGCATGGATGAATGGTAGATTTACAAATGTGAAAGATGGATTCTGACAAGAGAAAAATTTTGGCCTAACACAGTGAACCAACATTCCTAGCAGGAGACATAGCAATTAATTCAATACAGTTGCTCCACTTCAGGTCAGTGGAAAATGTGAGCCCAAGAAGGTGCAAAGAGATGCTCTCCTGGAGATTAGCATCAGACATACTGATGGCAGGCAGAAAAGGTTCTCTGTGTTGACTAAATGATAGCAGTTTTGTTTTAGAGGCATTAAAAATTACAAGCCATTACTTGACCCAGTTAAGCACTGATTATAGGTCCATTTCAAGAGCAGTTGCCAGGTTTATTTTGTCGAACTTGTTATACTTCTTATTAAAGCAGGAATAAATAGTTGTGTCATATGCATAAATACATATGCATATTCTTGCGTTTCTCTTCTAATAAATAAAATAATAATATAATTATCTTATATAGAACATAAATGTTTTGTTATGCGGTAATAATGAGTGTCTTAAATAGAGATAAAGTCAATTGGTGAAAAAAAATTGCTAAACACAATGAAAACCCAGTAAAGCAATACCTTGAATTGTGCTGTTAATTTGTTCCAAAATGACTCCATGCTGTTCAAGGTATTATTATAATGGTTTTCAGTATAATTCGTTCCAATCACAAAAGAATAATAAGAAAAATGAATCATTCATTTTATTCTTTATAAATGATGGTCAGAGATAAAAAAAAAAAAAAAAATCTATTTGTAATGTGTAACAAACAAAAAAAAAAAAAAAAAAAAAAAAAACATTCAGAAAAGGAAAAATACACTGCTTGATATTTGAAGCTTTATATGCTAGAGAAATAATCCTTCAAATTGAAAGATGGGGCAGAGAGAAACCTATGTAATAAATCTTTGGATGGCAGAACATGAACTGAGAGGGATGATAAGGGGGATAAAGGAGGGATGGTAAGCACTACAAAGGAGAGGGAAATGTGGAGAGCCAAGATTGCTCACATCCTGAAGGGACATAGCACATAGAAGAATCCTACAGTTTAGTTTGTACTGTTCTTTTTGTTTTCAAGAGTCTTTAGCATTGAACAGTACTTTGCTGTACTGTTCAACAATAAAGCAGTATACATGAGGAACTTGGAAGCATCTTTTATTTTTCATATGAATATATTTGTCAAATGAACATGGCAACATATTCAATTTCTTCACTTTTTTCTTTATAAGCAGGTTGTTGGTCTGAATTCATCATTTGCATGTGGTTCAATGCATTGCCATAAATTGGTATGATCCAAGAAGAATCTAAATTTTCAAACTTATGTAACTGTCCCTTCTAACAACTTATTTTCTCCCACTTTTTGCTTGCAAAATTTCCTTCAGATTTCTTACTTACCTACCATCTACAATCTGAAGAAATTGAAATGGAATGTCAATCACAATCTTCTGTATTCCTGAATCCTGTTGCTTTATTGTTCTTTTTCCTCACTAAAATCTTCTCATTATCTTTCACTCCTTGTAACACCCTGCATCCTAGTGTAATTATTGCCTTGCTTGGGGTGAAATGATTAAAAAAAAAATGAAGAGTGTGTAGTCTGACAGTTCAGTCCTAGGAACTGAATTGTTGGAACCCATCGCATATAACTCAAATTGATTCCTACTAAACATTAAATATGGATGTGCCCTTATATTTAAAGGTTAATTAGCAGGCACCTGATAATATTTATCACCTGTTTTATCATATTCTGCAACTTTAATTCAGAAACTTGCAGAAATCTGACTCCAAAATTACAAAATATATGAACTACATAAAAATCCACACAAACTCCTTACATCCATTTTCCATTACAAAACCACTATAATGTTTGAAATGCAAGCCAAGCAGTTTCATTTGATGCTTGCATATTTCCTTTGTAATGGGCATAGATTGGCTAATTTCCTAACTTTATCAGTGTTTACAAAATTTTTCTACCAGACTCAAGCATTTTGTATCAAAACATATCAAATTTCTCTTCTCGAATGAATTTGAAGTAATTGTCATGCTTAGCTTCTTG